CACTTTAACTTGTATTACATATAGGTAATTCACTATTTACCAACTAAGGATTAAAGTAATAGATATGTGCACTGAATTTAAAACTCGAAAAAAAGTAAACTTTTAAAAATCACATGAAAATTCGTCACTCACTTTGATTTAAATTAATGGATTAAATACAAATTTTTCACTCTGGTATTACCTATTTTGTTAAAACAAGTAGAAATAAATAATTATTAAATAAAAAACACCATTTTTTAGAAAATGATTGGCACAGTTATTCATCATTTTTTAATAACCTTAATAACCATTCTCAGTTTATCCTGAAAATTCTGGATTCTGGTTTTCGACATGGAGGAAGATTTTCAAGATTTTCGTATTCTAGAAAAATCAGTTTACGTTTTTACACTGACAGTTTAAAGTTAGGTTAGTTCATCCTTTCAAGTTTCAAGTCCCGATGATTCTAGATCCGGAGCACACCAATTGCACTAAGCTGATAAAAGATCATCTTGCCGAAAACCAAAATATTTTACTTTAAATTTATTTTTGTTACCTGATAATTTAAAGAAAAAATCATATGTCTTATTTCTCATAGGATACGCACAGTTCAGCGGCCTCCTTAAAAAAATGTTGCCCTTTCTCTGTAAACCACTCATTTACAACAGTCAAATTTAAATTTATGAATACGATAAACTTTGACAGGCGTTTAACTTTTTTAAAGGTGAGGAAACTATCTTTTGAATCTCACAAAGATATGTATTTTGTTCTTAATTTGCGACCGACTTCGAAGTTACATTACTTACTTCATCATCTGGAACAAGGGTAACCAACTTTTTTAACAAAAAATAACGTATAAAATTGTTTGAATAGAAAAAATAAAGAATTTGAAAAAAACAAATGTGCTAACAATTTTTTTGCTATCTTTGAAAGTTTCAAAGCTTGTTATACAATCGAACCTTTAATTTAAATTTATCGACGCTCTGTTTCTCTTTTTTGTCATTCATTACCGAAAACATATCTCAATGAAAGCTGAAGTGGTGAGAACAGAGAGTAAATAATATTATTTACTTTAAAATGGATTCTTTAATTATTATAAACAAAAACAGCGGACAATTTTCATACAATTTCGTCGATAGTGACATCTCTGATATTTGTCATCTGTCACATCTGACCGCTAACATTTAATTCAATAATTATTAATCGTTTTCATTAATAAGTACATTTTGTTTTAACCTATATTTATCCATAAATAGTTCAGTAATTATTTACCCATAATGATTGGAAATAAAGTATTTTCGCATACTTTATTTTTATGCAAAAGTATAAAGTATATTTATCGAAAATAAAGTAGAATACGTTAATATAAAGTATGTTTGGCAACCCTATCTGAAACACATAGTGCAGAGAGTATACGTACGTATTATGGAAAACATATTCTACTAATAAACAATATTTATTACTAATATTAGGTACGAATTATATGGAACAAAACATTTTACTAACAATAACTAATATTACATTGTAATATTGTTAGTTATACCTAGTAGTTTGTGCAACAAAAGTGGATACGGACAATCCACTCGAGTTGTACATAGGGTTGCCAGATGTCACGCTTTAGGCGTATTTTCCACGCTTTTTGACTTGATTGTACGCTCAACGCCACAGTACGAAAATGTCCCGCTTTTGGGAAGAATTCCACTTTTTTTTCTGCAAATGCTACTCGTTTTCTGCAAATGCCACCTTTTTCTGCAAATGCCACTCTTTTTCTGCAAATGCCACTCTTTTTCTGTAAATGCCACTCTTTTTCTGCAAATTCCACGCTTGTTAATATTTAAACCAGTAAATAAAAAGGATGTATAGAAAAATATAAGGTAAAGACCTTTTTTTTTTAGATAAATATCTGCTAAATATACAGGCTGAGGACCTTTTTTTAGAAATTTCACAAATAATGGACCTGATTATATAAAAATGCTATGTGGTCACGGTTGTCACGCTTTTCACTTTCGCAAATCTGGTAATCCTAGTTGTACAGTATATTTTCTCTACGACCGACTAACGAAAATCTACAAAGTTTAAAAATAATTTAGGTTATTAAGACAAAATAATTAGGTAATTTTAAAATAATCTATGAATTTTACTAATTTATAAAATAAAATAGACATGAAAACAAATTCGCCCAGATTCCAATCCAGACTATTCGCGTGGAAGGCAGATGTTCTCTACAGCTACACGGCCACTTTTACGATTTTAGTTTTAATACTCGTAATTAAATTAGTTTCAAATAGTTTGATTAAAATTTTAAATTAATTTCAAAATGTGGACGAAACAAATATAGAAATGCTACTATTTATCGATTCTACACAAAAGTAACTCATTTTAATGTATATTTAATCTCAATAGATTTATTAATTTTTGCAGTATTCTCATTACCTAGAAGGGATATGACATATATTCGTTCAGCTGACGCAATAGCATACTTTTTCGTTTTTTAATCTATGCGTAGATAAGCTAATATCCATATGGGTGTAGAAAAAATATATTTTTTTTTAGTTTTACACCCTTCGGAGCCTTGTGCCTTAACCCGCCTGTAGCCTTGCGGCACTGCAGCCTGCGACTTATTCTACCACTATCTGTATCTGTAAAGTGTGGAGGGTGGGTTACCCCCACGGCACTTAAGCCTCATTAGGCCCATTGTGCATCCTCCTAAGATGATAGGCACCTTCTAGCTCGTGAGCCAGCCTACAGATTTAATGTAGTTGACAACGTCGCCAAGAGGTGCTTCTCTTTATATCGGCCGGTGTTAGCCGATACTCGCCGAACACAAATCTTTTAATAAATGGGAGCTTCGAGCAATCGTAAAGGATATGCTCGATGGTCTCATCTTCTTGTTCGCGCCCTCTGCAGAGTGCGGATTCTGACAGCCCCATGATATGGAGATGCTTCCGTACTTGGCAATGACCAGTTAGAGTGCCTGTGACTAGGCTCAGATTCTGTCTAGTCAAGTATTTGTTTGCTGGAGTGTTGTCAGGATAACTTAAGAGCTCCCTGGCAACTCTGCAGTTTCCTGTTTAATCCCATCTTTCCTTGAATTTCACAAGGGAATGTTCTTTAATTAGGTCTGTCACTACCGATTTTGTTAGGCCAAGGTCCAGGTCCAAAAAGTATTTGGTTGGCTGCTTTCTTGGCTAGTGAATCAGCAAGACGGTTTCCTTTCGATGTGGCGTGACCTTTGATCCATCTTAAGGTGACCACATTGTTGATGGATACTTCGGCCAAAGCTACGTGACATTCTAGTACTAACACAGAGTAAATTCGTGGTCTGTTCAAGGTGAGTAGTGCTTGTCTGCTATCTGTATAGATGAGCATATTCCTTCCAAGTTCCAGTGATATTGTTTCTGTTTATTTCTTTTGCTGATATGAGAATCCCCGTTAGCTCTGTTTGAACTACACTGGCACTATTGCTCACAGCCCATTTTATGTTTAGGTTTAAGAATCTGGAGTATATTCCACATCCTGAGCCCCGTTTTGTTTTAGAACCGTCGGTGTAGATATGAATCGTACCTACCACTTCTGGCTTTTCTATTTGTTCTATTGTACTACTATTGAAGGTACTACTACATTCCCATTCACCAATTCACTCCATTCATTCACTAATATTCATTCCACATCGTCGATGGTGATACGGCTCATGGTGGAACGTCCTAGCCATCACCCATCCATGACGTGACCGGAGAGACTACTGCTTAACTCTTGCGCGAATGTGGATGCACACTAATCTCGCGGCTAGCCTCTGCGGCTATAGATAAATAATAGCATTCCACAATATATTCGTCTATACAAAATAAATCGTTAATTTTAATAAAATTATCTAAAACCAATTTAATTGTAGGTATCATAGCGCAGAGGTAAAGTATTGATTGGCCATGCGAAGGATCCGGGGTTCAAATCCAGGATTGAGGACTAATTTTTTTTTTCAATTTTATTTTATAAATTAGAATCATAAATAATTTTTAAAATAGCTACTTTATTTTATTAACCTTTAAATTAATTTTGAAAATTTGTAGATATTCGTTATTCGTTAGTAGGTCGTAGAAAAAATATACTGTACAACTTGAGTGAATTGTCCGTGCTGCACTCAGCGTCGTGCTCAAACTTCGTCTTCGTGCAATATGGCCGTATTATCCACTCTTGTTGCCCAAATTACTATTTCCTTAAACTCGTTAACTAATTATTTTTCAATATTTTTACCAAATATTTACATTTTTTTATCCATTAGGTTTGATAGATGATGCACCATAGCCACTCAGCCACTTAGTATCAGGAAAAATAAAGTCATATAATCAAGTTATCAAGTTTGAGATTAGATCTAATAAAACCATTGATTTTTTAATTTCAAGAAGTATTTAAAATACATTATTGTTATAGGTATTGTCTATAAACGTAATTAAAATCGAAATTAATATTATTTAAATAAAAAAAAAAGTGAATTTATTGGGACCGTAAAGTCTACCACAACCCAAACGACATAACATACCTAACGGATAGTAGCTGCAGCCTGCAATCAATGACAGCACTATTTAAAAACCAACTTTCTAAAATATTTAAGAATTTTTATTTAAATCACCTTAATGTTGTGTAATATCTATTTTTATCTTATATCATTATTTTCTACTACAATACGTTTTGAGAACCATTTTCTAATTTTTGAAAAAAATGCCAAAAGAATATGGATCTTTTAATATCTGGGTATTGTCATAAATATTATTCTATAGAAAATTATTATTGATTTTTCGTTTTTATTCTAAACATATTCTATAAATATACATAAAGGAAGATTATTATTTTAGATAATTTAATTTGTGCAGTTAATCCACTTTCGAAAGAATGGTCTCGAACGTACACATGCAACGGCAGTCGCTTTCTACCGGCTCGAGGCTATTCGATGAACATTCGAGAATGATCGAGTCGATTTTATCGTTCATATAAAAGCACTTACGACTGGCGGGACTTCAGTTGATTCAAATCAAGCGAATAGTAAGCGTTCAAAGTAAAGTGCTAAAAGCAAACTTTTCAAAGTAATATACCTAGTGATTTTTATTGTGCAAGAAAGTTAAAATTAAGAAAATGGTGAAAGCTCCTGCAATTGGTATTGACTTGGGAACCACATACTCCTGTGTGGGTGTGTGGCAACATGGAAAAGTGGAAATAATCGCAAACGATCAAGGTAACAGAACAACACCAAGCTATGTTGCCTTTACTGATAGCGAACGTCTTCTCGGAGATGCTGCTAAGAACCAAGTGGCGATGAACCCAAGCAACACAGTATTCGATGCTAAACGTCTCATTGGTAGAAAATATGATGATCCCAAAATCCAACAAGACATCCAACACTGGCCTTTCAAAGTAGTAAACGATTGTGGAAAACCAAAGATGCAAGTGGAATACAAAGGAGAAAGAAAGGTATTTGCTCCTGAAGAAATAAGTTCAATGGTACTTACAAAGATGAAAGAAACAGCAGAAGCATACCTTGGAACCACAGTCCGAGATGCAGTAATCACAGTTCCAGCTTACTTCAACGACTCTCAAAGACAGGCAACTAAAGATGCTGGTGCTATTGCTGGTATCAACGTCTTGAGAATTATTAACGAACCTACAGCGGCTGCATTAGCTTATGGATTGGATAAGAATCTTAAAGGTGAAAGAAATGTCCTTATCTTCGACTTGGGTGGTGGTACCTTTGATGTCTCTATTCTTACCATCGATGAAGGATCCCTGTTTGAAGTAAGAGCTACAGCTGGTGATACCCATCTTGGCGGAGAAGATTTCGATAACAGACTAGTCACTCATTTTTCTGAAGAATTTAAGAGAAAATTCAAGAAAGATTTACGAAGTAACCCCAGAGCTTTACGTAGATTAAGAACGGCTGCAGAACGAGCAAAACGCACATTGTCCTCTAGCACTGAAGCCACTATTGAAATTGATGCTCTCTTTGAAGGAATCGACTTCTATACCAAAATCAGCAGAGCCAGATTTGAAGAACTATGTTCCGATCTATTTCGAGGGACCCTAGAACCAGTTGAAAAGGCCCTTAAAGATGCCAAGATGGATAAAGGTCAAATTCATGATGTTGTATTGGTAGGTGGGTCTACTCGCATACCGAAAATACAATCGCTCTTGCAGAACTTCTTCAGTGGTAAATCCTTGAACCTTTCGATCAATCCAGATGAAGCTGTTGCTTATGGAGCAGCAGTCCAAGCTGCAGTACTTAGTGGTGAAACAGATTCAAAGATCCAGGATGTCCTTTTGGTTGATGTAACGCCACTTTCATTGGGTATTGAGACAGCTGGTGGAGTAATGACGAAAATCATTGAAAGAAATTGCCGAATTCCATGCAAGCAAACGCAGACGTTCACTACATATTCTGACAACCAACCTGCTGTTACCATTCAAGTTTTTGAAGGTGAGAGAGCGATGACCAAAGACAACAACCTCCTGGGAAACTTCGATTTAACTGGTATTCCTCCAGCACCTCGTGGAGTTCCTAAGATTGAAGTTACTTTCGACTTAGACGCTAATGGTATCTTGAATGTGTCTGCTAAAGATACAAGTTCTGGTAACTCGAAAAACATTACCATCAAGAATGACAAAGGCAGATTATCCCAGAAAGATATTGACAGAATGGTAGCTGAAGCTGAAAAATATAAGGAGGAGGATGACCGCCAGAGAGAAAGAGTTGCTGCAAGAAACCAGCTAGAAGGTTACGTTTTCCAACTCAAACAGGCTGTGCAAGACTGTGGTGACAAACTATCGTTTGAAGATAAGGCCACAGTCGAAAGAGAATGTGAAAGTTGCTTAAAGTGGCTGGACAGTAACTCCCTAGCAGAGAAAGATGAATATGAAGATAAACAGAAACATTTGACATCAACTTGTAGTGCGATTATGGCTAAATTATACCAAAGCCAAGGAGGTAATCAACCTGGAATGCCAGGCAGCTGTGGACAACAAGCTGGCGGATTTGGAGGAAAACAGGGTGGACCAACCATTGAAGAAGTTGATTAAAACGCATTTGGCTATTGTTTGGTATTCAATGTTTTTCAAATTTCCGGTTGTATTAACTAGGATTAAAATTGTTAAGACTGATATATATTTAGATATGTGATATTATGGATAATTATTTTTTATTGACAATAAATAATGTTTTTGTTATTTGGGCTTTTCTTTACCCTATCTATAAAAGGATAACAGAACTTTTTTGTTCATTTCTTAGTAGGCATAGGTATAAGAGGTGAAATGAAACATCTCAAAAACTCGAAGGCGCCTACGTTGATGGTTCGCACTTCCCTCCTTATACAAACTGGGGCCCCTTCGGGCATACTCGTGGCGTAAAAGAAACGACAATATATAGGATGAAACAAAAACAAATATATACAATAAATTTAACCGTACTTTCTGAGATCCGAAAATAAGTCGATTTAAGATAATTTATTTTTGTAAAAAATGGATAATAGAAAAAGTTGAGTGTTAAGTAGAAATTTTAGGAGTGATTTTACTTTAAAACTGATTTAAATATTTTTATAATAATGTACATAGGGTGTTATTATACAGTGACCAATAAAATTAAGTTAGTGACGTTTAAAATGTTTTAATTCTATAGGTTTTTAGAAGGGTTTCGCAGCCCTTTAACCCTTTTAGACAATGTAATAGAGTTAAAAGCAGGACGCCACTCAAATCCTTAATTTTTTTTATTGTTTCCTCCAAGGTAGTATATTTGTTTCCGAAACCCTTAATTATTGAGTTATAGGTCCCTGAAGGACGGTCATAGTGAAAAATACTCATAATGAAATCTATCATCTATTAAGTTGTAAAACAGTAAAAGAAAAAATCGTAAACAAATATTCATTAAGTATTTTTCAATATGAACGGGTTGTAATCTTAGTTTAAACTATGAACTTCATTTTATAAGCATCGGTTATTGTTAAACATTGTTTTAAAAATGACATTTGTACGTTGAATATAAGTAGTCAAAAATTAAACCCCTATTAGTCCGCGTTTGAATATCCCATGCATTTTTTACATTTCGAGCGTTTCTTTATACACATCTACTACATCTGCATCTGCGTTTGTTTATCCGAGATGTAGCTGTCCAGATTACATTTTTTACATCTCGATTTGAAATGAGATGTTCGTTCCATGCCAGAAAGTAGGTGTTCTGTGAAGACAAGTTTATTGATTTATCCTTTGTTTATGCTAGCGTGAACATAAAAGTGATTAGTTTGTTTAAATTTTGTTTAGATTTCTAATTTAGGTTGATTTCTATACTCTATTTTTAAACTAAGAGGAGCGATTTGAATTTAAGTTGGCAATTCTGTAGCCTTCTGATTGGTCAGATTACAGTCAGTTTCACACATTACTTTTTAGCATGAACATCAGCTAATAATTGATATTGTTGACAGTTCTGACATTTAATAATTTAATATCTCATCCATTACTTAGTTTTTTTACTTTATTTCGCAAATAATACTTCTTCCTAGCAATTGTATTGAAAATCTACAATTATGGATCCTTCTGCACTGAGTACTATAAAAGGTAGCAATTCCTGAAAAGCCTTACAAGAAAGGGAAGAAACCTTATTATTTTACATGCTGATTCTGAAGGTTTTGTAGAAAATGCATTATTGGTTTTTGAAGGTAAAAAGATGGGAGATTACAATGAAGAGATGAATTCCGAAGTATTTTAGAAAAAAATAATTTTATTACTGATTTTTTAAAACTAAAAATTGATGAATATCTAACCAAAATGATTAAAATGTAACTAAATATTCAAGCAAATTTTATTTATTAGAATAGAATAAAACTATTTACAAAATTGTTATAACATTTAAAATACCATCTACTACTTTAGGGATAATCTTAATTTGGCACAATGAGTTAACATTATTTTCACAAAAAATATTTTAAAAATACTTAAAATTAATACATATGTATGTATTCACTTTAAAAAATATATGTTGACATGTAGTGTTATGAAAATGTTGGTTCCAGTTTTCAAAACAAATTCTGCCTCATAGGCCTGTAAACTTTTGAATGCCTTTATTTGCCCTCTAGCGCATTAACCATGGGTTAACACTAAATAAGCCGTAATATCCACATTACTCATAGAAGAGATACCAGTTACTGTGTGATCCACTTGTCATTCACTGATTAACTTTTACTTTTTATACCTATAACAAAGATATCCTTAAAAATGTAAACAGATTTTTATATTTTATACTAACCTGGCTACATCTGGATATTCCATTAACAATTTTCTTAAATATTTATTATCCATTTTAAAAAGATCATAGTTATTCTCAAAAAGTCGATTTCAAAAGCAAGAAAAAAGTATTTCTGACATCAATCAACCATATTGACTTTAATTTGACAGTGACATTTCGTTTTAGACACACATTTCAGATCACAATAATGTGAAATTTGCGATCGTTGTCTGGGACCAATTAAAAAATTACTTCTATGACATTTAGTCGTTTCTTAACCGCTCATTGGCCGTTTACCGAATAAGGCCGATAAAGATAATTATTTCATAAATTTTGAACACGACTATATTTCGAAACTCGCTCTTAGTAACAAATCTAGTTACTTTTCCCTGTGTAAATGCGTCTGTTCAATTCGCTCCTCCTAGTTTAAAAACAGAGTATAGTCTCATAAGTCTGTTGATATGACATGCAGATTAAAAAATCGCCATGCATTACCGTCTCGATGATGGTGGGTGAGGTTTTCCGGGTTTTCCTCAACTGTAAGTCAAATGGCACCATCAATCATCTTTAAGTCGCCCCGGAGCGCCACGGCAAATAATAATAATAGCCGTCCCTTCCCCTACACAAGTCGTTCAGTCGACTTCAGGGGTTAAAATTCACTCGTAAGGGGGTGAATTAGGGAGAGTATTATTATTATTATTCTTATTATTATTATATTATTATAAACTTCTAACTTTTCATTGGACTAACTTTAGTCTGGGTACCAGGCCACAGAGGACATAAAGGCAATGAAGAGGCTGATTTACTAGCCCGAGAAGGAGCCTCAAAGGCTCTTATTGGCCCAGAACCCTTCTGTGGTGTAACAAAAACAACTATCAGAACATGCACAAAGCAATGGATGTTTAAAAAATCTCAGGAGTGGTGGAAAAACTCTCCAGGGGGTCGATTCTCGACTCGTAGGAATTTTTTCCTATAGGAATTTTTGACATCTTTCTATACATCTAAAATTTATGACATTTACCTACATATAGGAAAGTGTCACAAATTCCTATAGGAAAAGGTTCCTACAAGTCGAGAATCGACCCCCAGGACAGAGACAGGCCAAAGAGTTTATAAAAGGACCATCGGCTAAACTTACCGAGCATCTACTTAAGAAAAATCGAAAAATCGAAAAATCGAAAAATCGAAAAATCGAAAAATCGAAAAATCGAAAAATCGAAAAATCGAAAAATCGAAAAATCGAAAAATCGAAAAATCGAAAAATCGAAAAATCGAAAAATCGAAAAATCGAAAAATCGAAAAATCGAAAAATCGAAAAATCGAAAAATCGAAAAATCGAAAAATCGAAAAATCGAAAAATCGAAAAATCGAAAAATCGAAAAATCGAAAAATCGAAAAATCGAAAAATCGAAAAATCGAAAAATCGAAAAATCGAAAAATCGAAAAATCGAAAAATCGAAAAATCGAAAAATCGAAAAATCGAAAAATCGAAAAATCGAAAAATCGAAAAATCGAAAAATCGAAAAATCGAAAAATCGAAAAATCGAAAAATCGAAAAATCGAAAAATCGAAAAATCGAAAAATCGAAAAATCAAAAAATCAAAAAATCGAAAAATCGAAAAATCGAAAAATCGAAAAATCGAAAAATCGAAAAATCGAAAAATCGAAAAATCGAAAAATCGAAAAATCGAAAAATCGAAAAATCGAAAAATCGAAAAATCGAAAAAAAATCGAAAAAAAAATCGAAAAAATCGAAAAAAATCGAAAAAAAATCGAAAAAAAAAAATTGAAAAATCGAAAAAAAATCGAAAAAAAATCGAAAAAGTCGAAAAAAAATCGAAAAATCGAAAAAAAATCGAAAAAAAAAAATCGACAAATCGAAAAATCGATAAAAACGAAAAATCAAAAAGTCGAAAAAACAACAGTTAGTTACCTATGTTTAATAAAAACTTTCCATTCTACACTTAACTTTTATTTAATAAAGAAACCATAATGGTCGTAGACAAAGTATGGCATTAGACTCGCAATTTATGGCCATTATTTGCTCGTTTAATAATATACAATTAAGCCGTTTTAGAGTAAGAGCTAATAAATCACTTCTAAAATGTCTACTTTGACACACTTACTTTTTTAATATTCATTTTTTACGTAAGCAAATAGACTTATTTTCGACCTCAGCAACTGTGATTAAATTTTCTGCACATCTTTTTTGTTACACCTTGTATGATGTTGAAATAAAACCGAAAGATGAAGACGTTGAATTTGTAGGTTTGTGAAATACGATTAATTTTGTGATGCAATTATATGGGTAAAATTATTTTTTTTTTCTTTCAATTGGGTTTTTTTTGTACTTTCACGAATAATATGCAATATAGCTATGTACAATGTTATGTAGTGCATTGAGTTACCAATACAATTAATTGGCTTTCAAATTAAGTGTCATAATTTACTGAATTATTCATAAAATTACGTTTCTAATGTAGAGCAATGCGACCCCTTTTGCTATTTAAACAAATTGAGGGGGGCTGTCACATGGAGTGTATGAAAGGGCAAGTAATTTTTTAATGTTATAAAATGTCTCCAATATCGGAGTTGCAATTTTGGACATTTGCAGAGGTAGGCGTAGAAAAAGAAAATTATATTATTCTCTCACTTTATTTGAACTACTAAATCTTTACATTGCCAAATTAAATTGAATTATTATAATTAAATAAGTGATAATGGCAGCAAATAACGTAGACAAAATTTTTTGGTTGACTTGAAAAAATCCAGCTGCTGAAAAATGTGGAAGGAGTTTTTCGGCATATTGAGCGAATGAAATAAGGTCGTCCCTTATTGGAGTTTTCTCTAATAATCCTGACTTTAAATAACACGTGGTTACAATTTTTTTGGCTGTTTTTTCTACACTGTCGCACGAGAACACTATGACAATCGTTGATATCTACAAAAAAAAACTTACTTTTAAAAATAGGTACAGAAAATGTTTTCAAAAATGAATATCTATAATAAAAAATAGGATTCAAATTAGGATTAAATTTTGTTTTGGGAAAAAATTGGAACATTTTTATCTGCAACAAAAGTATGCAGCGAGTCATAAACTAAATCTAAATCATCCATGCTTTATGTCATAAACAAACAGAGATATTTAATTGAAAATTTGGTACGACAGATTGTCTAGGCCGCTCTATCGATATAAAATATTATGGATAGCTAGCCACTTCTGGTATATCAGAACACCTTGTATATTTTCGAATTGTTATAATCCCCTAAACGAGCTGATTTTAATAATCTATTACACTTGATGTATATTATGTATACAAGGTGTCCCAGACTAATTATTCCAAGCTATATGTCATAAATAAATAGATATATCCA